CTAATTCGAAATTATAAATAAACTTTGCTCTACAATATTCCTTTTCATTTTCTAATAGCTCTTTGTTTTCATTGACTGATTGTAAAAAATAACTTTTTTTATTTTCTCTGTCAGAAACAGTTGGAAAAGAAAAATGAGCAATACCAACCATTTCATTATAAATTTTACGTGCTAATTCTCTTCTGTCTTGTGTTAATAACTTAGTAAAGGACATTTTAACTTTTTAATATTTTTTTTTTATTTGACACAACATTTCTTTTTGTGGTATTTTGCAAATCTAAAATCAGAATTTAAGTTTTTTTGTTTTCATATTCTTTAATATTATGGATGCTTTCACCTTTCTAATCTTTTTGACAGATTTAACAGATCTGTATGCAGTATCTCAATTTTCTTTAATTTATCCTACAGTAAAAACATTGAATATAGTATAAATGAGTGCGTTAGACTGGAATAAAAAAACAAAAAAAAAGTAAATCTCAATGCAAAATTCACAACCAAAAAATCTTTTACATATAGCGAATTTTTTTTTCGGATTGAGAGTCCGTTTTTTCCTTGTTTCATTTAAAATATTTACAATGAATTCAATTAAAACTTTATATTATCATCCTCGTTATTTTTAAATAATAATGTAATCAATCGCCCGGGACTCAACAATACAATCAACTTCAAGAAGAATTTATTAAACCATTTAAAAAAATAAATTTATTATAACCAATTCAAATACTTAACTCAATTGTCGAGAATTTCATCACCTATATTTTCATTTACCGTTGAGAGGTGTCTTTCGAATGTTTTACGTTTATGGCCGAGTTTGAATTAATTTTCGAGCTACACTCATCGATTAATTGTAAGCTTTTATATTCAATATTCGTCAATTAAGTTATTTTACGAATTTACTTTGCTTACTGCCTCTTTCATGTGCCTAGAAAACTTCAGTAACACTTTATGGTACAATAAATTGATGTGGCCCTTTTAGAAAACGACATGGGCTTTTCTAAAGTTCCTTTTTTATTTACTTTTACTTTTCTTTGACCGCTTAAAAGTTTAGTTAATTTGATCTCTTTACAAGGCTCCTTAAACTACTTTTCTTTTAACAGTCATACGTTCACAACAATTGTTTTAACACAAATAACAATATATGATAACGAATTTATCGATAACAAGCGTTAGCACTTTATATTTTGCCGAGCAGTTTAATACTTTACGTTTACACTTAAACGCTTAAACACTTACACTTTATAAAAACGTTTACAATTAACAAAACTTAAAAATTAAAAAAACTCTACTACCTGTTGTTAACAGTAGACTGGTTGATCAACATTAACTCGGAGTTCTATATCACTTTGATAACAAATCGACAATTAAACCCTGCAACTATGGTTTAATTTCTAACTGCAAAGGTCTTTTATTAAGCGAGAAAAAAGGATTATTTTAAATTGTGAAAATGTTTATTACAGAGCGGATTCTTTCTAAAGAAATAATTTGATACTAATTTCTGCCCCTATTCTTATGAGCACGACCCTGAAATATTAAATAATTAATATTAATTAATCGTCTGGAAAGATAGCACCACTAGATAAAGAGTGATATGTTATTTTGCTTTTATAAATCTTTTTGCTATTTTACAAAAATTTACCTTTTTGCTCCAATCTCAATTGAGAAATAGTTTATTTATGTGGATGGGTTGATTAGTTTTTGGGAATTGACAAAAGCAATAGGCGACTTTTTTATATATAAATCAACAAAAAAAGGGGTTTTTTATTCTAATGTTGATCAATTTAAAAAAAATTTTCAATGTTGAAAAAAAAACATTCAACAAAAAAATCTAGACCACTACCATCTTTTACACCTACTACTACAATAGTAGATTTAAATGATAAATTATCAGATGAAGAATATGAAGATGATATTGAGTTAAATGCCAATGGTAAATAACAATATATACACATATATGTGAGTAAATATGTTATTTAACAAATATTATTTTTTCAGATATAAGATATTCGGATTTTTTTGATCCACCAAAAAGAGTAAAAATTAATGATAAACCAAAAATAAGTATTGATGGTCAAAATGATGAAGAGGAGGAGGAGGGAGAAGAATATGACTTTGTTTTTGATTTAGATCAAGGTCAACAAGAATCTGAAGATGAAGATGAAGATGATTTAGATAATGATCTTGATGTTGAGGGTGATGATGGGAGTGATGATGAGGAAGAAGAAGATGAGAGTAGTGATGATGATGATGATGATGATGATGATGATAAAGGAATTGAAAATGAAAATAGAAATAAAAATAAAAATAGTAAAATATTAAATAATAAAATACATGATTTATTCGCTACAGAGAATAGTGATGATGAGGAGGAAGAGCCAAAGTCTAAATTTCAAAAACAATATGATAAAATACAAAATCAAATTAAGCAAATGGAAATTGAAAATGTTGCAAAAAAAGATTGGACTTTAACTGGAGAAGTATGTATATATATATATATATATATATATATTTGTGATTGTGGATTTTTTGAATATATTTCATTATAATTTATATTTTATTTGCATACAAAAAAATCATACTGTTTTTTATTAAAGGCGTCAGCCAATGATAGACCAATAAATAGTTTATTAGAGGAAGATTTAGAATTTGATCATATTGTTAAGGTTGGTTTCTTTTTTAATTGGTAAATAGAAAGAAAGAAAAATTTTTAAGTAACATTAAAATAATGATAGCCAATACCAGTGATAACTGAAGAAGTAATAGAGAAACTTGAAGATATGATAAAAAGAAGAATATTAGATGTAAGTTTTTCTTTATTAATCCATCTATCCATCCATCCATCCATCCATATCATTCAATCAATCCACCGATCCTTTAATTATGTTTTGCTAGGAAACATTTGATGATGTAGAGCGTAAATCAGATCCAAAATTCAGACCATTTTTACCCTCCTCACATTTAAATTCTGAGGAATTATCAGTTGAAAAATCCAAGAAATCTTTGGCAGAAATTTATGAAGAAGAATTTGTTAAACAAACTAAAAAAGATGACGGCGATAACAATAATAATGATAACGAAAAGGATTCAGAATTGACAAAAGAACATAAAGAAATTGAAAATATGTTTAAAAACCTATGTCATAAATTGGATGCTTTAAGTAACTTTCATTATACACCTAAACCGGTATATATATACATCTATATGTGTGTGTGTATATTCTATTGTATATATATTTTTTACGTAATGAATTTTTTGATTGATTTACAGCCTAGGCCGGAAATTACTGTTATTACAGATGTACCTGCTATAAATATGGAAGAAGTTATTCCAGTAAATGTCAGCGATGCTACATTGTTAGCACCTGAAGAAGTTTATGATAAAAAAAAAAGTGAAGTTAAGGTACTATTCATAAAATGTATAAATTAATAAATTTGTTTTATGATGATGATAATAATAACAACAATACATTTATGAAAAAAATAGAGTAAAACAGAGATGAGCACAGATGAAAAGAAACGTGCACATTCAGCAAAGAAACGTGCTAAAAAGAAACAAAAATTGATGAAAGAACATGAAAGAAAAGTTATTGAAAAGTAATGTGTCATTATTATTAAAAATTTCTTTTTTTTTTGATGATGATGATTAACTATATTTTTTTTTGAAATAGATTGAATCCTGGTTTAGGAAATAAGTATGCTAAACAAAAGGTTATGGATTCACTTATGGGTCAAAAGGTAATTAGAAAATTAATAATAATAATCATAATAATCAATTTTTTCGCTTGTTCTCATATTATGACATGTATTGTTGTTATCATTAGAATGTTGTCATAATTGATAAAGATGGAATTCAAAGATCAACAATAAAAAACCAAAAAAAACGGAAAAAATAGAAAATAATAATAAATATGTAATTAATCAATTGAACGTGGTAAGTAAAGGAAAAAAAAATTTATTGGTTTATTTATTATTTATTACTACTTTTAATATTAATTTTGTTTTAATCATTGTTATTATTACTATTATTTTGATAATTAAATAATTATTAAAAAATAATGTACACAATAAATTATATATATATATAATAAAAAATAATAAAATAATTAATTAGAAAGAGGAAGGAGAATTATATTAAAAAATGTAGTTTGTATGTGGTTGTATGCATTTATATATATATAATGGAAAAGAAAAATTATATTGAAAATTAAGGGAAAAAAATCTATAAAAAAAATCCCTTTTTATAAATTTTTCTTTTGTAAAAAAAAAAAAGTAATATTTTTATTCTAATTTTTAGAAAAAATGTTTGAAGGAAAAAAATATACGCGTATATTATATATAATTGTCACTTTATATAATGCTATTAATGGCAAGAATATTATTGTCATGATGAAGGCGATGACAAAATAGAAGGTCTTGACCATATTTTTATATGGCCCTTTCTACACGTCGTTATAACTGAATCTTCACGAAATGTTATCGAACATAACGGTTCTGAATCAATTGACTTGACCTAATAATAATGTTGTTATTATTAAATAAATATTGATATAGTTATAATTATAATTAACAAAGTATGGTTTCTTACCATTACAGGTTGTAGTATAGCAACTTCGGATCTAGGTAAACAAATATGAACCGAATTTTTGGTGTTTACATTATGACTATTCTTGATATTATTTTTACTGCTGATGTTATTAATATTTTTAAGGTCGTTTTTATTATTATTGATAGTAGGAAGTTTTATGGAATTAGGTGTCAAATGTGATTGTGATACTATACTAGATCTATGATGACTGTTAGGCTATTTTTTTTTTTAATCAATAAAAAAATTAATAATAAAAATTATTATTAAATAAAAAAATTCAAAAAAAAAGTTTACTCACGCCTTTAGGCCTATGTAATGTATTTACACTGAAATCCCATAATAATAATTTGGTATCTTCGCCAACTGATCCAAATCTATAATTACTTTCATCACATCTCCAAGGATCAAATGACACACCAGTTACCCATGACTGATGACCTTGACATCTTGCTACAATACGATGTTCACGAAACGCCCATATCGTGACCAAATCATCTTGTCCTCCAGTTAACACATATTTTCCATCAGGACTCCAACACACACATGAAAATCCACCGAAATAACTAGGATACGTATCTGATAACCTAAATTTTTTGAAATTTGAGTTAATTTCAAATTTTTGATTAATCTATATAAATAATTATAATTATGGCTTACTCCTCTTTTATATAGTCGATAATTCTTAGATAACCATCAACAGAAACAGTTGCCACGTGGTGGCAATCAGGTGAAAATGCAAACGCTATATTTTAATTTAATTTACGAAAAAAATGTTTTAATATATATTTATTAATATAATAATATGATATTATTATGATATATATAATATTACCAGAAATGGATTTTTTTGAAACACGCCAATAAGATAAAGGATTATGCTTTGTATTTTTAGATGATGGTCTTGTAACATGGAATCTTTTTTTTTATTTAGTAGGAAAAAAATTTTTAATTGATATATTGAAAAATCCTTTAGTAAAAAAAAGGGAATATTTTTCTAATCATCATAACCATATTAAACAACTCACTCTTCCCCACCATTTCCTTTCGTTGTGATAGTTGATAGAGATGTATTTGATGGTGGTATTGGTGGTGATAATGGTAGTGAGGATGGTGACGGTGGAGGTGGTGGTGGTGGTAATGGTGTAAAACTTTGATCATCTCTTTCTTTATCAAATATAATTATGGACCCATCATGAAATGATGCCATAAATGAACTTTCTGAACCTGGCATCCATTTCACCATAGTAACAGCTGAATTATTTATAACTCCCTATATAAAATCATGAATATAAATAAATAAGGATTCATTCTCAATTTATATATTAATGATATTTAGTTATTAGTAAAATAAATGCCTGTTTGTTTAGTCTGTAATATTTATTACAAAGCGGATCAAACCAAATAACATCACCAGAAGAAAATCCAATTATAACATCTAAATGATCACAAGATCTTGTAAGTTGGTTAACATCATGACAAATAGGATGTGCTTTTGTAAAAGTAATTCTTGACAGCGTTTCCTAATTAATTAATTTAAAATTTATTTTTGGAAAAATTTAATTATAATTACAATTATAATTGACTATTCAAAAAATATTAATACCTTTGGCTTGTTCGCTAAATCTGACCAACAAAAAGTTTTCCCAGAATTAAAAAATAGATAAGTATCTTCGTTTTGACGATTTGCCAAAACTTTAGTTAGATTATCATTTTGATGAATCTTGGCAACAAATGATGAAGTTGTTTTTGTGATATTGTTTTTTTGTTTCTTTCGCTTCATTACAGGACCAAAAAATGAAAACGTATCATCATCTTTCTTTCCTTCAATTGATGTCAGATTAGGAGATACATTGCCATTATTATTATTAGTAGCATTGGTATTACTCGTATTGGTATTACCGTTATTAATATTATTGATTAAATTTAATGAATTTAATCCATAATGATTTTCACCATTTGTTGGTGATAAAAGTTCGGAAGAATTTTGTTGTAACCTTTCAGGATCAGATGTTGTTGTTATTGTTGTTGGTAATTCATCTGAATCATCAATTAGAATATTATCATTGCCAATAGTTATAGCATTATTATTATTAGTCCGCTCACTATTACTACTGCTGCTGCTACTACTGCTGTTATTATGATTAATATTTGTATTTACATTTAATAAAATATTGTTATTATCTTCAAGTGGCATAACTTGTTTAGAAAGATTGTAATCTTTATATTTAACCGAAACTATCGATACTAGCGTTCCATTTGCTAGATTTGGAGTACCAGTATCTACTATAATGTCTTCTTTAAGTGTATATTGTCCTTCTGCTGCTAAAAAACTTTTACATTCGTTGGTCGTAGCTGACATATTCACTTTGCTTTTTTAAATGATGTAATATCACTGATTTCTGTTGTATTTAACTAATTCTATTGATTTGTGGCCAAGTAATTAATTGTATTTCTATATTTTTAAGGAATGTAAGGTAATAAACAATGCAAGTAAAAAATTATTTTATTAAAAGTCTTTACTTTATAATAAAAGATATATATAACGTCTTTGAGGATGTAAAAAGATCTTGGTAATATTTTAAAACAAAATAAATTAAAAATTTAAATTTTCTAAAGTGATACAGAGAAAAACGATAGTCCGTTATTTATTAAATTATCATAGATGCATTTTCCATAAATGATTAGTATAATAGCCCCTAAAAATAACTAATAACAAATCTTAGATCGTCCAACCATCCGAAATGGATTAGTGTGGCCTTGATTTTCCCTCGACAAGTTTTTTGTTACATCAAGGATTACATCTTGGACGACCCAAACTGCATTGTTTTTCGTCAAAGTCTTTTTAAAAATACAAATAATCGTACAAGTATATTTTGCATATATGTATATTTATATTAATATACTATTACCATATGGATTTAAATGTTGAACAAATATAAATAATTACTTTTTCAAATCACAGGATTATCAATTTCCACAGCATCCATTCTTATAAACACGTTTACCATTCGATACTATATATGCTTTATCCGTAATTCTTCTAATTTGGCATCTTTTTAAAAAATAATTTTTAAAAAAGTTAGTTATTATTATATATATACTCAATTAGTTAATATATAATATATAATCTACCTATGACTAGAATAAATTCACTAGATAGACAATAGTATACATGAGATGTGTTCTGGACGCTTGTTAACTTGTTCGGAAGAATAGATGTGAAACTTGAAATATTTTTTAAAATAGAATAATGGATGCAAAATCACCTATATATGTGTAACTCCAAAATCGTTGCGCCATATGTCGAAATTTTAAAGTATCAGTATCACAGCAATCACCAGAGTTCAAATTTTAGTAAAGTGACCGACTATTAAAATCACCCGCCTGTTATTTGGGGGTTTTTTGAATCGTATATAGAAGACATACAGTCAACCTTGTCACAACGGATTTAAATATTGGCCCTTTTTTTATTAATATTAATATTAATATTAATACAACGTTAACGGATTTTTGATGGGGGTCTTTCTATATTAATATGGATCAAGTCAAGTCAGATGAACAGGCCACAAAAACCATAAAACTTATATCAATAGCAACTCAGATTTTGCTTAATATATATATTCATGAAGACTTAGCTTTAAAATCATATTTATTTATTGTGTAGATTTTGGAAAAAATGTATGTGACATAATTTGATTAATGGCTAATAAAAATGTCAAAAATCTAAACCTTCAATAAATCTCAATTTTTTTCCAATCAATATTTGATAAGACATATTTACCAAGTTCTATTCCATATTATGTGGGGCAGACTGCAACAAAACCAGACAAAGTGAACCAAACATTTCAGGGATCAATAATGTTTGTTTAACATCACAATTGTATTACCAATGTAATGTGAACATGATATTCATCTAGACATGAATAGTTAATATGAAACTCATTTATATCATGGAACCAAAAATTATAGCACCATTAGAAGTATTTTGAAGAAAGAACAAGGTGAAAAAATTGCTCCTTACATTTTCAAAATAAATGATACTCA